TTGCTTTCCTCAGAACAACAATGATCTCTGGCACTTAATAAACCAAAGAAGCCAAAACAAATACCTCCCACTGTCCCACATGGGGCTGATCTTTCATTACTGTGATAAATCCAGGTCTGCACAGTGTAGGAAATCACACACAGGAGCATGTAGTCCTGTAGTGCCCAAAAAGATAATGACAATTCTGAGGTTGGTGGGATTGGCCAGCAGTACTGTACAAGCTCCAGAGCTTGCCACAGAGGGATCAGAGGTGACTTCTGCTATGCAATAATGCTCTTTGATCTTGTTTAATCCATGTTACCCACTTGGAGTCAGCAGTGGATGTGGCTGTGTGCAGGTGTTCTCCAGAAGGTCCATATTACAAAGCAGAAACTCAAATCTCCAACCCATTTCTGATTATTACTAAACAAACCCAAAAGCTGTGACTGTGAGCCCTCAGAGGGAAACACTGGACTCCTTGAATGTACAGGTGCTTTGCCACATCTCTGACTTAAAAAAAACCCTTCACAAGGCACCTGGAAGTCACAGAAGTCTGAATCCACACATTAGGCCCCAAAGTCTTGCTTTGGACCATATAGTAGGGGGGGTTATTTTTGGAAATACACCAGTCCTTGGGACATTTTCTACTTTGTGTCCCGTTCCTCATGATTTTGAAGCTGTATGTCTAAATGTCTTATCAAAGGCCTTCATCTAAATAGAATGACTTAGGAGGGACCCAGTTTTAGCTTCTGCCTAATTTTCCTCACATGTAACATTCTGTCTTCCTGTGGTTCTCAGGGAAAGTCAGTCTTTGCTGCAAAACAACCCTCACAGTTACCAATGGGATAGAACAATCTGCAAGTGGAAAATATGAAGCATAATGTTGCAGGAAACAAAGCCTGAAGGAAGCTCAAGGGTGGGAAAATGGAATACTGACTTGGATGATACTCTCCATTTAAAAGTGACAGAAAAATCTAGATAAAGAAAGGAGGTTTCACATAGGAATTAAAAACTATTCTACAAATATGTCCTCATTCTGACCCCTCTAAAGCCCTATTCAACTCTGCAAAAATATCACAGGAGAAGGTAGCGAATAATGATCATACAGAGGAAAGAAATACATTTGTTTGCTCACCACCATTCTGAGAAGATATATAATTGCACAAATAGTACAGGAATGATAAAGAGACAAACTACAAGAGGAGTGGTCATCCAGCAGAGACTGGGAAATTGAATTATGCACTTAGGGAAATATCTTCCCCTCTTCTGTCACACACACTGGTCCACAAAAATGTGACTTATGCTGAAGTCCTGTTGACAGCTGTTGACTCACAGCAGAACTGGAATGCAAAGCTGTGCCATTCACATCTCCTGCCTTCCACACCAGCTATAACATGACAACAGAGGCACTGAAGAACAAGACCTTGGTAAATATACTTTTAATTAAATGTGCATACAGGAGAGGAAAGAAAAAAATGAGACGAGCAATGCAAGGAAGCATTAAGAGTGTTCTCAGAGAAGCTCACCAGGAGGACATCTCAGTCTTCCCTCTGAACACAGAAATTCATCTCTGACAGCACCTGGGAGTCACTGAAGCTTCAGGTGTTACCCTGAGGTCTTACTCTGGATCAAAGTAAGGAGGTACATTTTATTAAATAGTCACCAGCTCTCAGCAATTTTTCTATCGTGTGGCCTACTTATCTCCCACAAATATGAAGCCCTAAGTTTAAAAGTTTGATCACGGGGCTCTCTCTCAAGCAAAATCTTCTGAAAAATTATGACAAGTTCTCTTTTACATTACATTCCTTCTTCCTCACACAAAACACTTTGTCTTAGGTGACTAAAGTAAGTATTTGCTGCAAAACACCACTCACAGCTCCTGATGCGAAAGGACTGTCCAAAAAGGGGGGAAAAAGAAGCACAGCCTTGCAGGAAAAGAAGGCCTGAAAGAAAGTGTAATTGCAACTGTGAAGAAACTCCCCATTGCAACATCCAGGGAGATAAAATTTGGATAAAGAGGTTTCACAGAACAATTATAAACTTGCTGAAGCTGGGACAAGAATTCCTCTAGGAAATCCTCCAAGGAGCAGACTGACACAGAGAACATCAAGGCTTGTCAGCTTGGAACACTGATCATCCAATGAACACAGGAATAGCATGGAGCCTTTCCCAGATTCATTCATCAAAGGAAAACAAGAAAGCTGTGGACTCTCATTCAGACCTTTCCCACTTTATGTAGTTTGACTTGGAGCCAGCTACTTTATCCCACAAAGCTGATGTGAGCCATCATGTTTATTGTTTGAACTCTCCCTGCTGGGCAGTGTGGCTGCCTGGGGCTGATCTCCCATCAAGGTGGGACACCTCTCCAGTTTGTTCCTCGGGGCAGGGAGATCTTTTTACCAACAAGAGATCTTTGGATGAGTCCAATTGGAGTCCTCCCTGAAGTGCAGCTGGACTGCAGGTGACTCTCCCTTTGAACAGCAACACCTCTCAAGGCTTGACAATCCTCACCTGAGACAAGACATCCTTCATTACTGGAGGTGGCCAGATCCCTTACCAGCAACAGATCCTCAGTAGGTTATGGATAAATTAATGCCAATGAAATCCATGTAGCTAATTCTATTATAGACCAAAGCACACACCTAAGACTAAGATCAGACCTGGATGCATCCAAGATGCAACAGGAATTTAGAAAGTCAGGGGATTCATTCAATAAAAGTCCTTTATGTGTTTCATCCACGTAGTAAGTAATAGAGTGAACCTTGACATCAAACTTTGTTAAAGACACACTGCAACAACTTCCTATTAAACCACTTTTGATAATACCTCTGAATGGGGTTCCTTAAGTAATCTAAATCATTCATTAATGACATCTAACCATGTGTCATCCTTCAACATGCAGAGGGAGTGGACAAAAGCTCTGTTTTCAGAGCTCTACCATTGCCTTTGAAAACAGGGAAACCAGGATCACAGAAAAAATGGCACAGGCCTTGACACACCATGAAATCAAACTATTGCTCAGCCAAAAACTCCTGAATTCACCTAATTGCCTAACAGGAATTCAGCCTCTCACCCTCTTTGCTCTACATTCACAACCTTTAGTCCACCATGGACAAATCCAACTCCTGGCAATATGTCAAGCACAAGTGAAAAAGCAAGTGACATTCAGGTGAAATTCAGCAATATCTTAGGGAACCAGAAGTTATGGTCTTGGCAGATAAACCCCTTTAAGACAGGAGTACAAACTGTTAATTTAAGCAGGCCTGTTTTCAAGGACTATCATCCAAACTGAGGCCCAGTTTTAGAATGAGGAAGGAATGACAAACTCAGGGAAGTGAAGGAATCATAGCCTAATATGTCAG